GCCATGGACAGCTGGGAAACCAGCTACAGTGAGGCCTGGGCAGCGGCTGAGCTCACTGTTCCTTGCAGCTGGAATGAGGACAGGGGAAGGAAATGGAAGGAGGAGCTTTGCGCCTCCCTTTGCAAGAAACCAAGACCTGATATGAGGTTTTGGGTTGGTTTGCTCTGTTCATTTCTTTCTGCAAATTCCTCCTGGAGCAAGGAGAAGGAGCGACTAGTACATCAAGCAGTCTCTTTGCTGGTACACTACCTCCGTAAAGGGTGTTGGCAGCTTCCCTTCTTGTCTTTGCACATGGAAACATGGGAATGCCACACGGTGAGCGGCCGGACTGGCATAACCTCGGTGCTAAAACCCCAGTCCAGCGCTTCGGCGTAGCAGGAAGAGTTTTTCTCATACAGCAGTTTACGTTGCCTGTAACAGCTTGAAGCAGCCATGGCAGGAGGAGGAGGAGGAGGAAGAGGAGGAGGCAAATTGTCACCTTGCTACATGTGCGGGCCGTGTGCCCATCCCTGATCCGAGCCGTCGCACCCCGCGCAGAAGCTTTGCACAGCAGCTACGAACACAGCCCTAAGGTACAAAAAAACACCGGGAGAACGTTCCTGATTGTCCTGCCTGGTTGTCATTTGGTACAACTGGGAAGAAGACAGTAATACTGCAGTGTCCACGGGCGTCTCGCCGACACGGCCGGAGCACAGTTCCCGCGAACCCGCGTGGTGTGTCTCGACATCTGCACACGCGTGAACATCATGCCTTCGACATGCAGCTGACGGGGCCGGGGGACAATATAAGACTCTTAATTACACGCCTTCCAAAAGTCAAGCACAAAGCCTGTGGTCCAACCCGGTGTAAGATTGTCCTGTTTGAGGAGCTTTGGTACAAAAATACTTGGCTCTCGGTTTAGTCTGCTTTCATATGGTTCTGTTTGAAAAGTTCAAACACTGCAACAATGCCTGTCAAACCATGCTTTCGGGAGCAACACACTCTTCCTTACAAATATACAGTGTAAAAGAGGAAAATATTATTACTAGGTAATGTTTTTCTTCTAGGAGAGCAGATGTGTGATAGAGGCTGTGGGAAAGTCTTGGAGGAATCCAAACTCGTGTGAGGGTTTTTTTTCAAGCCTGTAACAACAGAGAGAGGTGTTAAAAAAAAAAAGGCAGCTGTGATGGAGGAAAAAGGGGCTGTGATTCATCTCTGGTCCTTCATGGGGAAACTCCTGTGCAGCAGCATGGGGGAGAGGGAGGCTTGTTTTGGAAATCTGTGCCTGGACCTCACTCCAAGGACAGGGAAAGGCAAGGTGGGAAATGCCTGTGCAGGGACACTGTTGGCATCCCAGGTGTAAAGGACCCCCCTGGTCCCAGTTTGCTCCTCCCAGTGGCTGAAGCCCCTGGGGTTTGAACTGGGAAGGTGAGAGTTAACTTGAATTTTGCACTTTAAGAGGAATTCAGTCTCTGTTGATCCAAGGCAGGAAGCGAGGACGGAGATGAGATTACCGGGGGTAATTCAAAGCTGAGAGGCATTCCTTGGCTGTGGAAACCCTCGCCCCAGATAATAATAATGATAAAGGCGGGAATGGCAGGGCCGTGGTTCCGGCTGGGCAGCAGCAGGAGCAGCGATGCCACCCTGCAGGGATCAACCCCAGGGTCACGCCTGCCTCACTACCTATTCCCTCGGGGACAACACATTGGCTTCCTCACCCTTTGGCCCCCTCCCCAAAGGCAGCCAAGCCCACGGGACAGCCGGACGCCATCCCGGCCTTACCAGCACACTGTGGTCCGGCGGAGAGCATGTCACCCCAGTAGCTGCCTTGGAAGACTCCACTAATACCCACAAGACTGACTGTAGGCCACCATCACACACCTGAGACCTGCGGGAGGACACAGCGGAGGGTGAGGGACGCTGGCACGGGGGGCTGAGGTCGCGGTGCTGTGGGGAGAGGTGGTTTCACAGTGGTCAGAGCCGGCGCTTCCCAAGGGGGCAGTTTTCACCTTAGCCCTGCCCTGATGGGCTTCCAGGCAGCAAGTACAGGACAGGGCCAGGCTGGCAGCAAAACCCTTCCCTGGGCTGTGCCATTCTTGGGTGGAGGAGCCTGACAGGGAGCCGGGAGGTCCCCAGCCCTGCATCCTCACCACCCACTGTGGCTATTGGTGTTGCTGTGGGCTGGTGGACCTGTTCCAAATGATTCACTCGCCTCCCCTTCCCAAATACGGCTCTGCTTACATTTTATCTGGAAAGTTTGGCACGATGCATATTTTGGAAGAACCACTGGTTCCCAAAGCCTCGCCGCTCCCTATTTTTATCTGCTGGGCCTAAAATAGCCGGTAAGTTCTTTGTGGATCCAAGTCTGGGTCCAGCTGCAGCCAGGGCTGGGCCTCCTGCCCTCCCGGATGAGTGACCATGGGAGCATGGGCAGCCAATACCAGAGCTTTGGATGCACTGGGTGTGGAAGCAGGAGGCTTCCCAGCAGGGATCGGCAGTGTGCAGGGATATTCCCAACTGGGATGGTCAGGGTGGGTGGGATCATGGGGTAAAGCAGTGCTCAGCATCCACTGAACCTCTTTCCCCTCTTCCACTTGGGTCCCCTTTGTTTATTTATCCACGAAAGGCCGAGTTATTTGCAGAGCATGTCTTGCAAGGCTTTTTCCATCCAAAGAGGTCCCAGATGGAGTCGGACCAGTCCCTCCCTCCAGCCAGGCAGCTTGGTGAGGCTGCACTTCTTATTTTGGCAGCTCTACCACCCCGAGCTGCCAGGAGTGTTTTCATTAAGGTTTAATGAGATGGTTGTGTTGGGGCTCCTTTTTTTTCCATCCCTGCACCCCCTCCCCAGCAGGATGCCTTTTCCATCCTGCCCGGGGACATTTGGGAAAGTGTTGGGGGTGAATGGTGGTAGGGACATCCCCTTCCTGGGGACAAGGCAGGCAACTGGACTTAAGGGTGGCTGCTGGAAAGTGGCCTCACCAATAGTCTGGCCACCCACCCTGAGCTGCTGGAGACCCCAGGAGCTGTGGTGGTGGGGGAAGGCCAGGGTAAGGTTGGAGGTGGATCCCAGCCAGCGCAGGAGGATGGGACCGGGACAGTGGCACTCACCTGGCATTCAGCAGAACTGACGGGACTTCCAGCCCTGAGAACCAGCCTCGGAAGGAGGGAGCCAGCGCATCTGCAGAGGCAAGGGGGACACAGAGTGAGAGGGGGGTGGCCGCCCACCCTGGCAAGATCCACCTGCATCTGGGATCCCCTTTCCCGGCCTTCCCCAGGCACAGGGTGGAGGGAGGTCAGAGCACAAGCAGTACAGCCATCCCAGCTCCAACCGGGACAGTAACACTGGGGCCAAGCACAGCCCCCAGCATCCCTGCTTCCAGCAGGATGGAGCTGGGATAGCAGCACCACAATCCCACTGAGCAGGAGTGAGCTCATCCCTCTCAGCTTCTCAAAAGCCCGCTTGAAACAGGGTGGAAAACATCAGATGCCAAAACCCAGCACATGGTGCTCAGTGCCCTGCCAAATCACACCAAGTCAGCCCCCGTCCATCCCGAGGTTCCTGGTCCCGCCGCTCTCTGCAGGATCCAGCCGAGCAGCTCCAGTTTGGACAGTGGCACCCATTTCCAGTGCCCCCCACCAAACCTGCATGGGGGGGGGGGGTGGGAAAGGTGCCACCACCATGCTTCCCCTTGTGCTGATATTGCACATCAGGTAATATTTCTTCTGTCTAACCTCAGCCTAGGTTTTCCCGAGGGACCCTCGAAGCTTCCGTATGCCTCCGTTTCCTTTGCTGTCGCTTCTCCGAGCAGGGCAGGTGCTGCCTGTTAGCAGTTATTTGACAAGGCGAGTACGTAGCTGCAATAATATTTACTACTGCTCTTCCTATGAGCAGCAGGGCACGAAAAGCTGGAGTTTCGTCCAAGGTTTGTACGCCGAGCGCTTTTCCACACCCTCCCGCTCAAACCAACCCCTGGCTGCTCTGGCTCCCAGCAATGGTGGCTCTGGATAACCTGGCTTAATCCTGGTGGGCCAGGGCCAAAAGCCCCTTGGAAGCAGTTTATCCAGCTAATCTGTTTCCGTGTGCTCGTTTTCTCCTGCTCATCGCCGAATCGGAGCCAGCAGCAAGGAGCAAAAGCCAGGATGATGTCTGGCGCAGATGCTGGGGAGGCAGCTGCCCATTCCCCTTTCGTGGTAGAGGTCTTTTCCCAGCATCCCCACGATGTAAGGCTGGCGCTGCAAAGAAATCCTCTTCCTCCTCCATTTCCACTTCTTCTCTTCTTTCCCCAGCTCCTCTCCCAGGCGGATGGTTAATTTTTAACAGCCACGTGCTGCCGTCGGGGGGCCACCCCGGCGCTGGCAGCCGGCAGAAAGCACTTGTGACAAGGCAGCACCTCGTCAATAAAAGATGGATCCTCCGTTTGCGCTTCGCTTCCCTCTCCTCCCCGTCAGAACCGCTCGGCTTCACACCCCATGTCCGGCACACCAAATCCCAGCAATGCTCCAGGGGCTTTGGAGCCCCCATCTCACACTGCGCCAGCAGCCGGATGGCAACGAGTGATGAGGATGGTCCAGACCCGGAGAGCATCCCCATCCATCTATTCCTCCCTCCCTGCCCAGTTGCCCCACCACGGGCGGCAGCAAAGGTAGGAAGGCAGAGAGAGGTGTCTGGGGAAAGGCAGGACCCCTGCCAGCGCTCAGCTCCGTTTGGGAGCCATCCCTAAATCTCAGGGAGCGGGGAGTGAGTGCCTGTTAGCCGGGCAGAGGTTAGTGGTGTGGTGGGCACCGAGGGAGAAGGGGGTCCGGGGAGGGTGGAAGGGTGAGCAGTGGTTGGTGAGGGATGGGTTGGAATTACCTGGGCGTGCAGCGAAGCGGGATAGGTGAAAGCAGGAGGAGGTAGAGCAGGTGCTAATTCCGCTGGGTACAGAGGGTACGGCCCCCACACTTCAGGGCTACTGGGGTAAAGTGCAGGCACTGTGAGCTCATCTGCAAGAGAAGAAGAGGGAGAGTTAACAGTGACCGCAGGGCCGCCACCCCTGCCACGTCCTTCCTTCTCCCCCCGAAGCAGGAGCAGAGCTTCCCCTGGAGAAGCGCAGGATGTCACCGCCGAGAGCCAACGTGGTACTGGGCTCGTCATCTCCAAAAGGTTTAATGATCCCAGGGATCCAGCAGAGGAGAGAATGTGGCTCAAGCCTGTGCACAACAGTGAGGTGAGGAACCAGTGTCTGCGCGAGAAAAGCTCTTCCAGAGGCAGAAACAGGTATGGAGCACTCACGGCAGGACATTGCTGAGACCCCCAGATGTGACGAGGAAACTCCCCGGCACGGAGAAGCAGCACCTTAGGCTTGTCCCACTCCCAGGCACCGTGCCAGGCTGGCTATCACCTGTCCCGGGAACCTCTCCTTTGGGGACTCCTGGCAGCAAGCAGGTGCCACTGCTTCCAATTGGACCTGGCATTCCCCACTGCCACCCCCCCACAGTATCCCTGCTCCTTCCAGCACCCCACACGACATCACATTCCCTGAATAAGGTGTTTTCCCCGGGATGGGGGCAGCCCCCAGCGCCCGCCACCCCAAACCCTTACTGGCGCCGCAGGCCCCGGTACTCACAGGGCTCCCGGGCGATGAACTGAGGTACGGCGGTGGGGAAAGGGGTGCTGGGATTTGGGGTGCCCACCAGCTTGCTCTTGGCCATCTTGGTGTTGGCCTTGGCGAACTCCAGCCGCAGCGTCTGGGGGATCTCGGGGTCGAAGCGGATGCCCTGCGGGAGGGGAGGAGGGAGGGGAGGCACGGCGGGTGGGCGAGCGCTGCCGCGTGCCGGCCCCCCCGCAGCAAAAATAACTCTCTCCCCGTTATTTATGGGGTTTTTTTTCAACTTCCAGCCTTGAAATGAGCTAATTTGCCGGGCCCCGAGGCAGCTCACATTCCTCCAGCATCTTTAGCATCGGCACCATATTTGGCAGTCGGCATCCCCGCAAGGCCAAGCTCTTATCCAGAGGGATTAGCGGAGCCAAAGAAAAGAAGTTTTACATTGAAAATGAAGACAGGGAAGAAAAACAACCCTAAACCAAAACCCGGGGAGAGCTGGTGAGGAACCGCAGAACCAGCTCCACATGATTCTGCCCCTGACTATTTCCAGGTAGCTCCACAAGAGGTAGAAGGGAGCTGCTAAAAGTGAGGTTTGCTTTTTCTTTTGCAGATTTTCCCGGCATTTTTCCTGCTGAACAAACAGGAGAGGCTGGGAACGGTGTCTCTCGCTTGTATTTGTATCTAAGGCTCGAATCCTGAGAATTCAAGCCCTCCTGGATGGCCCTGAGAAAGGTGAGAGGGATGCAGCCGCCTGGGAGTGACGATGGGATTGTCTGGAGGGATGGGGATGCTATGGGGCGTGGGAGCTGCACATCCTCAGCGTGGAGGAATTCAGGGAGTATCTGGAGACAGGGAAACAAGGAGAAAAGTGGGAAAATGGAGCAGCCAGGCTGGGCACACTCACGTTCAGAGCGTTCTTCGCCGCCTCTGCCTCAGAGCGGCTGTCGAAGCTGACAAAGCCTACGGGCTGTGGAGGAAGGAGAAGAGGAGCCATCAGTCAGGTGGGGAGCAGAGGGGACCCCCCTCACCCCAGGGACTGGTGGTGCCAGGGAATGGTGGGATGATTGCCCCGTTTGGAGCGGCTCCTACCTGCTTGGAGGTGAGTTTGATGAGAGACCCCTCGTACCCCTGCAAGGAAAGGATAAAAAAGGGTGTTCAGTGGAGATCCCCACCATTAAATAATAATAACTGAATGAATTGACTGAATAAATTTTAGGGGAAGAACCAGTGGGCTCCCAGATCCCAGTAAGTTGTTTGGGGCTGGGGCAGGGGCCAGCTCCACACTTCCAGTCCCCCTTTCCCTCACCAGTTTGGTACCTTAAAGGGCCTGAAGAGCAGGTAAAGTTCCCGGGGCTTAATGTCCAGAGGCAACCCGCTGACAAAGAGTGTCCTCACCTGGAAAAGAAGAAAGAAGGTTCCTGGGGATACTCTTCATCCCTTACTTGGCTTCCTGCAGCCAGAGGGACAATGCCAGCCCAAAGGGACCCTCCTGGGCAGCCAAAAGCCTTAAGCCGCAATTGAGTGATGCAGAATTTTTGGGAGGGGTGTTCCCATCCTTCGGGTGACCATGGAGGAAGCTGCTAAGGCACCATGGAAAGGTAACGGAGACCTGTCCTCACCCCACAGAGTGCTCTCTGGGCTGAAAAAGCTTCCAGCATCCCAGCACCTTCCTACCCCGGTCTGGCAAACAGGATCTCTCCCGGCATCCCCCAGCGGATCCGGGACTCTGCAGACAATGCCTATTGTCTCAGTTTAATTGCAGCAGCTCATTAAGGACTGGGAGAAGCAAATCCCAGCTCTTCCTCCCGGAGGAATGGCCGGCCCTGGTTTGGAGGGGGCTGGGTTTAAGCAGCTCGTCCCTGGTTTGTAGAAGTCACCTTTTAAGGGGTTTTAACCCTTTTTTGATGGATCTAATGTTTGTGGTGGTGCAGCATCCTCAAAGCTGGTGTGTTTGGCAGAAATCCCGCTCCCACCAACTCCGAGGCGGGATGTGGGGCTCCCCAGGGATAGGCAAACCCTGTGTTGGGGTGGTTTTGCTTTACAACCAGCTCATAACTGGTGAAGCAATGTGGGGAACTGGGTCTGCTGCCAGTTCCCCCTCTCCTCATCCACAAAATCCCATCTGAACACTTTGGGCTAGAGGAGGGGAAAACTTTGATTTATTTTATTTCATTTTTTTGGCCACGCACCCTGCCTGCCCCATTCCCTGGGAAAGAGACATGGGAAACTGCCAGAAACAGCCAGCCCAGGCCTATTCTTCTGCTGACATTTCTTCTTTCTCTTGCAGATAAGCTATCTCCCCCATCTCCCAGCCTGGGAGCAGCAAACATTCCTGCTTTGTGGAACAAAACCTCTGGCTGACCTGTATCTGTTAAATAACAAAAGGTACTCGAGTTGTTTGCATACAGCCCTTGTGCCAACAGCCCTGGTGATACCCATCCTGGTACCTGTGTTATCATCATCATCATCATCATTCCTGCAGGTACCAGCATCCAGGCCCGATGGGATCAGCACAGGGGTGTCCTCACCCGTTCCTGAGCCAGGGCTGCAGGCAGGCACAGCCTGATAGCCTGTCCTCTCTAGTGGAGCCACCCAGGGTGGGCTGGAAGCCCCCCCCAAAGCACCTTGGGGGACCTCTGCCAGATTTCTGCTGTCTCCCAAGACCAGAGGCTGATGGAGCATCCCAAGGCATTCAGTATTGTTCTGTCTCCCCATGGAGACAGTGCCCAAATTTCTCCCAGCAGGGAGGCAGGAGGAGCTCCCCTTGTGCTCATGAAATTCAATGTAAAGAAAACAAATTTATCCTTTCCTTGGGGAAATAAATATTTCCTTTCAGACAGGTCTGACTAAGCGTGGCTGCTATCCGGGGAATTGGCTCTCCGGATGCATCCACCTTCCCAGCTGGGTTTGTGAGCATCCCTGCATGGTGTCCCCTGTCTCCATCATCCCTGGAGCAATTCTGGCAAGCTGGCTTCCCATTTCTCCCTGGGGAGCTGCATGAAACACCAGAGGTGTCGGCGACAGCTCCGGGTGGGGGGAAACCCACTGCCAGTTTGCAGCATCCCTAAAATCCAAATCCTACAATCTCCCAAGCCTGGCAGATCATTTATCCCCAAAGCCACGTGGGAGAGAGACGGGAGAGATAAAAGACCCCAAGGAACCCTCCGAAATTCAGCCCTGCAGAAGAAGGGCTTCTCTTCCTTAATGACTTGTTTTCTTTGGAAGTTCAAACGCGGGTCGGCCAAGTTTGAATCCGTAAAATTACCCAGCGGCGAGAGGGAGAAGGGCTCCAAAGGATCCCCCAGCTGGTTTCCAGCCCCAAAAGGCCTGGGAGAGGAGGGAGGGATATGAGCTCGTGGGTGCCCCCCATCTGCACCCCACAAAAGGGGCCTGGGGTGTACCGAGCCACAGGGATGTTTGAGTAGGTCCTGTGCAAACAGCATCCTTTTGCTGGGTAACAACAAACAGGTGGAACTGGCAGAGTAAGGGAGTTTCCTCAGGGATAATCCCAGCAGGCTGGACGGATATCCTTTTGCCAAGGGAAGGATCTTAGCGGAAATATTACTCCTGCCCTTAAATGGAAGGGGAGCTTCGGCTCGCAGGGAGCTGCTCCAGGTTTTCCCGCGCCGAGAGATCCCAGGGATTCAGTCACCGTCCTCTACCAGAAACACACTCAGGGCAAAATCCCACCCTAGACTGGGAAAAAAAAGCGCCTTATCAGCCAGCAGGCAAATATATGCTCTTCCATGGGGAAAAATGACCCCTTCTGGCACGCAGATGGGGTGAGGCGCCTGTTCCCAAGTATCTCATGGGATGGGGCCAGACCTACAGCTCCCAGGCAAGGATTACCGAGGGACGCTGGAGCATGGGATCCCTGCAGCCCAAACCCCTTTATTTTATTTTTTTTTTTGGACAGCTCGAGCTGTTTCGTTTCAGTTCTGCTGTACAAACATGTTCAGTTTCTTCTCGGTGGAGCATTTCTCCATCTCTCCTTCTCCTTACAATTTGGGGTGAAACCAAAGGTTTTTTTCCAGGTCAGAAGTGCCGATGTTTGCTCTGGGAAGCTGCTGGCCACGGGTGCAGCACCTAAAAGGTGACCACCTTGATTTCCTTCCATTTCCTTCCATGGGGATGGCAGCTATGCATGAGGAGCGCTCCAGGTCCCCTTCCACAGTCCTTCTCTGCTCCTGCCACTGCACCCCACAGCTCCCAGATTTGCCAGGGCTGCTGGATCCCTCCTCTGCCTCCTCACTCCTGGTTTTGTCCCCTCTTGGCTTTTATTGTCCCTGCAGGACAATATCTCTGCTACTCTCTCCCAGAAGCCACCTCCATCCCACTTCTGGCCCGTCCCTCTCACCTCTGCATCCCACCATCCCCTTCCGTTGTCCTTGAAATTCCATATCCCATCTGGGGCATTTAAAGGATGACGGAAAGGGTCTAGGGGGGTTTGCTGAGATGGTCAGGGCTGGAGACACACAGGGAGAGGCAGGGCCTGGGCCAAGAGGTGGCTGGGGTCGAGGAGGAGAGGAGCATGGATCGAGGATGGCCCAGCATGGAGAGATCCGTGACGGAGCACTGGCAGCCCTCCTCCTCCTCTCCTCACCTTAAGCCACAAGCGAAGTTCCTGAAGGTAAGGAAGCATCAGGGAGGCATTACCCTGTCTCGGACCCCCATCAGATGGCGGTGCCCAGAGGGATGCCGGGTGTCCCACCGGCACGGTCACGGTCCCCTGCCCCTATCCCTGCCCAAACCACCTCCGGTGAACGTTAACAGGCTGGGGGGGGAGGTGGGAGGCATCCGGGTGATTCATCCACGAGGCATTTAATCGCCTCCTTCAGCCCCGGCTCCCCGTCCGTCCGTCCGCCCCTTCCAGCGGGGCTCGCTTTAATTCTCCACCAGCCGATTATCCGCTTGACTGCCCGCCGCCGGAGAGGCACCGCCGGGCAGCCGGATCCCGGCGGGAGCGGGAGGGCGATGGCACGGGGCTGCCATGGAGCCAGGGAACAGGGCGAGCAGAGCTTCTCCCCGCACCCCATTCCCGGCAAAGCGGGGTACTGTCGTCCTCCGCCCCCTCCTCGCGGCGGGGTGCATTCCGGCCCCGCCGGGATTAGTCCTGGCATAAATACTCTCTTGGCTAATGGAGCGTCTTCCTCGGCTGGGTTTAGATTCCCGGGCTGTGTGTACGCATGCCTTCAGCCCGCAAAACTCCCCGACATAAACAAGGCTGAGGCCGAGGGATGCCGGCTCCTCCGCCCGGGGAATGCGGGAGGACCGGGATCAGCCTCCGGCCTCGCCACCCCGCAGCCTCTTGTCCAGAGGGGCAGACAAACGTCCGGTGACGGACAGGAGGAGAGGAACAGCCCTCGGGGAAGAGCGAGTCCAGAGCTGCCGGGGCTGGAACGAGGAAGCGGCGGAGGAAAAGGCAGCGAGAAGCCAAGGGAGCAGATGGGGGATTGCAACAGAGCAGAGGAGCGGCGGGATCAGGAGGGGGTCACACGCGGCCCTGTCCTGCCCAGACTTTGCTCCCAAACCCTCCGGACCCCACGCTTCAAGGGGGAAAGGAAGCAGGAGCACGGGGGGATGCGACAGAGGGGCCACGGGGGAAAATTTTATCCACTCACTGGGCGCACTACCCCTCAGATACCACCCCTGGTGTTCCCTCCCCACGCCACGGTCCCCCGGGGTGAGGGATCTGGCATGGGATGGGAACGAGGGCCACGAGCCGGGCTCTCCGCAGCCGCTCCGCTACCAAATAAGGCCTCCGCCGAGCCTTTTACATGCCGTTCTCGCCCGGCCAAAGTGACGTGACCGCCCTCCCAAATTGTTCTGGCTCCTCCGTGGGGAACCCCCTGGCTCACAGCTCCCCTGTGGGTACCCCGGGGAGGAGGCGAGAGGGATAGGGGGGCCACCCGGGATGCCAGGAGCAGGCAGGAGGAGCGGGGCTGAAGTGGGGGCTTTGCCCACCTGGCAGCAACCTCACTGATCTCCCCGGGATAGGGGCTGCTTCCCCCTCTTTTTTGGGAGGGGGCAGGAGCCTGGAAGGCAAGCCCTGGGAGGGGAGAGGTGCGGCTCAGTAGCCGGGCAACCCCCTTCCCCTGCGCTTAAGCAAATACTCGACAGCACCGGCTCTTCCAGCCTGGGCTGGGCAGAACTCCTGCAGGGAAAGTACCTGCCTGCCACCGGAGGAGCCCGGCTCGGCCATCGCCCTCCTAAATGTGTTCCCGGCACAGCGGGTGACCCTGGCACCTCGCAGCCGTCCCCTCCAGGGACTCCCCATGTCCAGCATCGAAAGATCAGGGGTTCCCCAAGTGCGAGCAGTGCGACAGCCGGCCCCTGGCCCCCCGGATCCAGCCGGGGGGGGCACATGCCGTGCCGTTGGGGAAGGCAACAGGCCTCCACGGGTGTCTCCCACTGCCACGTTCGGCCGAGCCACAGCCGCGGGACCCGGCAGCATCATCTCCCACACACCCCTCGAGGCCAGGAGTGGGAAAACTCCCCATTATTTAGGAAACTTTTGAAAGTTTGAGGCCAGAGCCACCTCCAGAACAAACAAATGAAGGCAGGCAACAGCGGGCCATGGAGCTGCGGTGATCCCAGCGCTGGCCATCAACCAGGGACCCCAGTACGAGCCGGCCGAGACCTGCCGGAGCAGCCCGGAGGGTGGAGAGCGAGAAGGAAGAGGAGATCCCAGATCGGAATCTTCTCGCTCTCACCCTCCCACAAGTCCAAATTCCCATCTCAAGGTCACGGGCAAAACCAGGAACTTTGCGGTTGGAACGCAGAAAGCCAGCTCTCACCGTGGCGCGGCGTGGGGTTGGTCCACCGTGGGGGAGATGTTTCGGACATCTTTGGGGGGAGACCCACGGGAAGGGACGCGTGGCCGCTGGATGCGCTGCACCCACCAGCACCGGCAGCACCAGGCACCGGCCCCGGGCCCGGGGGGAGCCTGGTTTGCCCCCCACGGCCCCGCGGAGCTGCGTGTGTCGAGTGGGGCTCCCCACGCCCGCAGGTCCCCGCCGGGGAGCCGGCGGGGCGTTTGCGGGGAGGCCCGGGGGGATGCAGGCGGTGGATGGGGGCGTCCCTGGGAGCGGCGATGCGCTCCGCGCCGCTCACCCCCGTCCCCCCGCAGCAGCCCCGCGTACCTGGAGCCTCGCAAACCGACGAGACCCCCCCCCGGCGAAGACCCCCCCCTCCCATCCTGGGTGGATGCGTGGGCACCCGCGGAGCGCAGCCCCCGAGGATCACAGGTGGGGAGGGAGATGCCCGACCCCCCTTCCCCCCCCGCCCCAAAACCCCCGTGTGTGTCCCCCCGGTACCTCCTCCTCGGGCAGGCCGGTGTCGGCGGGGCCGCTCTCCCGGTCGGCGGGGAGGTTGCTCATGGTGCGACCGGCCAGGCTCCTCGTCCCGCCGGCGGCAGCAGCGTCCGGGCGGGCGGCGCTGGAGGCTGGTCCCGGCGGCGGCGGGGGGGCCGGGGCGGGGCGGCGGGGCCGGGGAGGGCCGGGGCGGGGGCGCGGCGGAGCGGAGCGGAGCGGCGGGAGGCAGCGCGGGCGCGGCGGGATGGAGGAGCGCGGGGTCGGGGGCACGGGAGGTGCGAGACGGGGCGAGTGATGCGGGGTTTGGGAAGGCGGGACGCAGGGCTGGGGAGATGGGACGCAGTCCCAGGAACATAAGACTCATGCTGGGGACGCTGGAGGTAGGGTTGGCGACACGGGACAGAAGGCCGGGGACACAGGGCACCGGGTTGGGGATACAGGACAAGAGGCATGGGACACGGTCTAGGACCTGGGGTTGGGCTTACAGGACA